ACGGAGTCTCACTTTGTCACCTGGGCTGGAGTGCAGTGGCCAGATCTCAGCTCACTGCAAGCTCCGCCTCCCGGGTTTACGCCATTCTCCTGCCTCAGCCTCCTGAGTAGCTGGGACTACAGGTGCCTGCCACCTCGCCCGGCTAGCTTTTTGTATTTTTTAGTAGAGATGGGGTTTCACCGTGTTAGCCAGGATGGTCTAAATCTCCTGACCTCGTGATCCGCCTGTCTCGGCCTCCCAAATTTTGCATTTTAATAGGTAAAGAAAAAGACATTCTTAGTTCAAACAACACAGAACAATAGGTAGAGTATCGGATTCAGTTAATGGACCATATTATACTAATCCCTCCTTTCCAGCACAGCTCTGTCAAGTGATAAGGGAACTTTTATTACAATTTTAAATTTTATCCTATGGCCTTCATCCGCATTATTTCCACTTCATATTTCTTTATGAAGCTGAATATACACTATGATTTTACTATGGGTATTTACTCAAATAAATGAATCAATTCATCCACAGAAGACTTATACCAAGATGTTTATGTCACCTTTTTTTTAATAGTGACACACTGGAAGTAGCACAAATTTCTATCAGTAAATAGATTTAAAAATCATTGTGATATACATGCTCACTGACAAAACTATTACTCAGCAATAAAAATAAATACTTATGTATGCAACAACATGGACAAATCAGAAAAAAAAATCTTATAAAAAATTCCACTTATACAAAGATTTTCAAAAGGTAAAACAAATATTAATAACACAATTAATGTTTGCATATAGAGAGTAGACATTGACAAGTTAACAATCTGACATCACGACTAAAAGAGCTAGAGAATCAAGAGCAAACAAACCCCAATGCTAGCAGAAGACAAGAAATAGCCAAGATCAGAGCAGAACTGAAGAAGACAGAGACATGAAATACCCTTCAATAGTTAACAAATCCAGGAGCTGTTTTTGTGAAAAAAATAAATAAATAAAACAGATAGACCACTAGCTAGACTAATAAAGAAGAAAAGAGAGAAGAATCAAATAAACACAATCAGAAATGATAAGGGGGATATCATCACTGACACCGCAGAAATGCAAACAGCCATCAGAGAATACTGTAAACACTTCCGTGCAAGTAAACTAGAAAATCTAAAAGAGCTGGATAAAATTCTAGACACATACAACCTTCCAAGACTGAACCAGGAAGAAACTGAATCCCTGAATAGACCAATAAGGAGTTCTGAAATTGAGGCAGCAATAAATAGCCTACCAACCAAAAAAAGCTTAGGACCAGATGGATTCACAGATGAATTCTACCAGAGCTGCAAAGAAGAGCTGGTAATATTTCTACTGAAAATATTCCAAAAAAATGAAAAGGAGGGCCTCCTCCCTAACTCATTTTATGAGGTCAGCATCACCCTGATACCAAAACCTGGCAGAGATACTACAAAAAAAGAAAGCTTCAGGCCAATATTCTTGATAAAGATGGATTCAAAAAATCCTCAATAAAATACTGGCAAACTGAATCCAGCAGCACATCACACATCCTATCCACCATGATTAAGTTGGCTTCATCCCCAGGATGCAAGGTTGGTTCAACATACCCAATTCAATAAATGTGATTCATCATATAAATAGAACTAAAACCAAAAACCACATGATTATCTCAATAGATGTAGAAAAGGCCTTCAATACAATTCAACATCCCTTCATGTTAAAAACTCTGAATAAACTAGGTATTGAAGGAACATACCTCAAAATAATGAGTCATATGTGAAAAACCCACAGCCAGTATCTTACTGAATGGGCAAAAGCTGGATGCATTTCCCTTGAAAACTCACACAAGACAAGGACGCCCTTTTTCACCACTCCTATTCAACATAGTATTGGAAGTTCTGGCCAGGTCAATCAGGCAAGAGAAAAAAGCAAAGGGCATTCAAATAGGAAGAGAGGAAGTCAAATTGTCTTTGTTTGCAGATGACATGATCCTATATTTAGAAAACCCCATTGTCTCAGCCCAAAAGCTTCTTAAGCTCATGCAACTTCAGCAAAGTCTCAGGATACAAAACCAATGTGCAAAAATCTCCAGCATTCCTATACACCAACAACAGGCAAGCAGAGAGCCAAATCATGAATGAACTTTCGTTCACAATTGCTAAAAAAAGAATAAAATACCTAGGAATACAGCTAACAAAGGAAGTGAAGCACCTCTTCAAGGAGAACTAGAAACCACTGCTCAAATAAATCAGAGGTGATACAAACAAATGGAAAAACATTCCATACTCATTAATAGGAAGAATCAATATTGTGAAAATGGCTATACTGCCCAAAGGAATTTATAGATTCAATGCTACTGTCATTAAACTACCATCAGCATTCTTCACAGAACTGGAAAAAAACTATTTTAAAATTCATATGAAACCCAAATGAGCCAGAATAGCCAAGAAAATCCTAAGCAATAAGAACAAAGCTGGAGGCATTATGCTACCTGACTACACTACAAGGCTACATTAACCAAAACAGCATGGTACTGGTACAAGAACAGACACATAGACCAATGGAAGAGAATAGAGAGCTCAAAAATAAGACTGTACACCTAAAACCATCTGATCTTAGACAAACCTGACAAAAACAAGCAATGGGGAAAATATTCCCCATTTAATAAATGGTGCTGGGAGAACTGGCTAGCCATATGCAGAAAATTGAAACTGGATTCCTTCCTTAAACCATGTACAAAAATCAACTCAAGATAAACTAGAGACTTAAATGTAAAACCCAAAGTTATAATAACTCTAGAAGAAAATCTAGGCAATACCATTCAGGACATATGCACTGGCAAAGATTTCATGATAAAAACGCCAAAAGCAATTGCAACAAAAGCAAAAACTAACAAATGGGATCTAATTAAACTAAACAGCTTCTTCACAGCAAAAGAAACTATAATCAGAGTGAACAGACAACCTATAGAATGGGAGAAAAATTTTGCAATCTATCCATCTGACAAAGGTCTAATATCCAGAATCTATAAGTAACTTAACAAACTTACAAGAAAAAGACAAACAACCCAATTAAAACATAGGCAAAGAACATGAACAGACACTTCTCAAAAGAAAACATACATGCAGCCAACAAACATATGAAAAAAAGCTCAACATCATTGATCATCAGAGGAATGTAAATCAAAACCACAATGAGATAACATCTCACACCAGTCAGAATGGCTGTTAATAAAAAGAGAGGTTGCTAGAGAGGTTGCGGAGTAAAAGGAATGCTTTTACACTGCTGGTGGGAGTGTAAATTAGTTCAACCATTGTGGAAGACAGTGTGGCAATTCCTCAGAGACCTAGAGGCAGAAATACCATTTGACCTAGCAATCTCATTACTGAGTATCTGTGTAAAGGAATATAAATCATTTTATCATAAGTATACATGTACGCATTTGGTCAGTGTGGTACTATTCACAATCCAAATGCCCATCAATAATAGACTGGATAAATAAAATGTAGCACATAAACACCACGGAATACTATGAAGCCGTAAGAGGAACAAGACCATGCCCTTTGCAGGGACACAGATGGAGTTGGAAGCCATTATCCTTAGTAAACTAATGCAGGAATAGAAAGCCAAATACCACATGTTCTCACTAGGAAGTGGGAGCTGAACGATAACACATGGACACATGGGGGAGGGACAACACACATTGGGGTATGTTGGGGAGGGCCAGGGGAGGGAGAGCATCGAGAAAAATAGCTAATGGATGCTGGGCTTAATACCTAGGGGATGAGATGATCTGTGCAGCAAACCACCATGGTATATATTTACCTATGTGACAAACCTGCACATTCTGCATGTATACTCCTGAACTTAAAAGTTGAAGAGAAAAAAAGTTTGATTGTATAGGGGCATAAGAAAATGTTATGGGGTTATAGAAATGCTCTGTGTCTTCATAGAGTTAGAGGGTACATGGGAAGGATTGCATACCAAGCTCATTTAATCATAATCTTAAGATCTGTGCATTTTGCTGCACATAAAGTTTACCTTAATAAAACTACAAAAAGACATTTAAAATTCAAACAGTTATCCTTCATTAATATAGACAAACTCAGTATTACTTAATAAATATATACTTCATGCAATATTAGCATATGAAATCCAACAGTATGTAAAGGGGATAAAAACTCAAGTTGCATTTATTTAATAATGCAAGGTTGATTTACTATTTGAAAGCTGATAATATAATTTGCAAAATTAACAGAAAAAGGAGAAAAACCCTATAATAATTTTAATAGATACATAAAAGTGTATTGCAAATTTCAACACCAATAAAATAAGACTAGTAGAGAACATCCTCAATCTGATGTATGGCCTCTACAAAAAAATGCAAAGCTAACATTGAGCTTGGTGGTGAAAGATCAATTGTTTCCTTCTAAAATCAGGAGAAAGGCAAGAATGTCCACTTTTACCACTTCTATTCAACATTATACTAAAGGTTCTAGACATTTTAATAAGGCAAGGAAAGAAAGGAAGAATGGAAGAAAGGAAGGAAGGAAGGGAGGGAGGGAGGGAGGGAGGGAGGGAAGGAGGAAGGAAGGAAGGAAGGGAGGGATGAAGGAAAGAAGGAAGGAAGGGAGGGATGAAGGAAAAAAGGAAGGAAGGGAGGGAAGGAGGGAGGGAGGGAGGAAGGGAAGGAAAGAAAGAAAGAAAAAGAAAAGGAAGGAAGGAGAGAGAAAAAAAGAGAAAGAAAGGAAAGAAAAAAAAATCAGACAGGAAGAAGTAAAACTGTTCCTCTATTAAATGATCAACAGTGAAATGAACAATTATTTGTGTATAGTTCTATAAATTTTAATACAGAAGTCAACACTCTTTCTAGGAGTCTTACTTGCAAGGAATTAGTCAAATTAGCACTTACCTCTCAGCTCACCCTCCTGACAGACTGAAGGGTTGCACACTACACCTTCCTCTCTAAGCAACCTGTACTATTTCAAAAAATAGAAGCTGAGATCATACCTGCTAATACCACTCTTAGCAACACTGGAGGATTGTTCCTATAATAAATGAAAAGGGAGAGTAAGAATAACACCCGAAGCCTTAAAAACAACTACCTTACCTCTCTTGGATTCAAACTACCGTCCAAGCAACTCAGTTAATCCATATTCTATAGGATATATTGGTTATGTGAAACACATCCTCTTGAATGACCAACAGAATTGTCTAGACAAGTGCATTTTCTATTTAGAAAATACTTTATATGCCAATAGTAAACAAAGTTACTCATTTAATACTTAAATTGTGTGGTGAAAATTTGCCTTTGGAAAAAATAATAGCATCAATTTGTGATCTAAATTATCAAATGGTCCTGGGATTGCTGGTTCAATTGATCGGTGACTTCCCTGGGGACCACCCCATGTGACTAATCTCTTTGCTATTCTAATTTCATAGTGAAGGAATAAAATTTTGGATTTGGGTCACTTATTCATATAACTTACTAGTGGCTTCAGTGCTTGATGAGGCTAAATCATATTGCATATACCACTTCCACTTGATGATGGAGTTCTTGGCATGCCCAACTTTATGGCTTGACATATCATGTAACATTCAGTTCATGATAGGTAGTTCAGCTCACTCAATCTCATTGCAACTTGGTGACCGATGGTTAAGTGCTCAGTCTCTATGTAGGCCCTGTAGCAGGCCATGAACTGATTCTCTAAAGGAGAATAACTATTCACAGAGGACAGCAAGACTTTGCTTTAAAATCCTAGGGCTCTGCTCTGCAATTCATCTACAGTGGCCTGCCAAATTCTCTACCCAGCATCCTCATCTGGAACTGACACCTGAATCACCATTGGCTCTACTAGATTACATGGCCAAATAGATCAGGTTGCACAGAAGTCTAGATCTGTTGCAGGACCTTCACTTGTTCTGGGCCCCACTCAAATCCAGTAGATTTTAGGGTCACTTGGTACAAGATTGGATAACATACACAAATGAGAATATGGTGTCTCCAAAATCCAAAGACCCACAAGCATTGTGTCCCTTTTTTGGTTGTAAGAGGAGCTAGATGAAAGGACTGTCACCTTAGAAGGGATATATTGACATGGCCCACACCACTGCATCCCTAAAAATGTAACTAAGGAAAAAGGCTCCCAAACTTTTTTCAGATATATTCCCACCTCTTGCATGCAAATACTTACCAGTCTAGAGTAGTTGCTATTTCTCTCCCACTGGGTTCAGTCAGCATAATGTTATCAATATGACGGACTAACATGCTAACTTGTGGAAGTTTGTAAAGGTAATCAAGATCCCACAAATTAAATTATGACATAGGACAGTTGATATACCTCAAAGGAAAGACTATGAGGGTATATTTCTGGTCTTGACAGCCTAAAGCGAACTATTTTTAATGGTCCTTATAGACAGAGATGGAAAAATTATACTTCCAAGATACCATAGGTTATGTCAATTTGCTCAAGCAATGAGACCAGATCTGGCACAACCACTGCAATTTGAGTCTCCACTTGGCTAAGCTTATGATAATCCAGAGTTATTCTTCAAGATCCATCTGTCTTCTGCACAGGCCAAAGAGGTGAGTTGAATTGTGATGTGGTGAAAATCACCATCTTTCAATCTATCAGAGTGACATACAATCCTACAATCACTTGAGGAATGTGGTATTGCTTTCGATTTATTATTTTCCTAGGTACAGGTAGTTCCAGTGGATTGGATTTGCCTTTTCCCACCATAATAGCTCTCACTCCACAGGTCAGGGAACCAATGTGGGGATCTGGGGTTTGATGTTCAGCAATCTCAGCCCTGCAACTACTGGAGATAAGTGTCTCCTTCAGGGCATATGTAGAAGCTTACAGGTCATTTGTAAGGCTCTTGAGCTGGGAATTCAAATCCCTAAGCTTACCCTTTTCTTTTTGCACTTTGTCTAGTGACATTAGGAGTATATTATACATTTTTTAAACTTTATATTTTCCTGATACTTCAACATCCCCACAAATAATCTGTAAACATGTTGCCCAGGCAACCAGGTACATCGGTGTGGATAAGTCTGGTCTCTGCCACAAGTTGCCCTTCTTGGCTTCCCTTTACTGACCTAGTGACATTCAAACACACCAATAAAATCTCCTCATGGTTTTTGCTTGTGTACTTCACCCCGTTCTCCAATAAAAGCATTTGCCCATGGGTCCAATCTCCCTCCCCCACTTCTCTCTCTCTTTCAGGCCCTCATCTACTTGATTGAGCTCACTCCTTGAGATTTCCTCCCATGTGGCCTCCTGCATGGCATGCTGTGCCTCCTGCCTCTAGGACCTGTGTGCATAATAATCACTTTCTGAATATAATTTCTCCAATTGTGTTGAAATAATCCTTAAAGACCCCACAAAGAGGATATATTCCCTATTTGCAATACAAGAAGCAACTAGTCAATCTTGTATTTGTTAATTTGCCAACAATGTTCAATAATATTATATACAGTCATCCAGATACTTGATTTTTATAAGCAGTTGATTATGAACATCAAATGGTGATATTTTGCATGTCTATATTTCCAGACCACATCATGAACTATGAGTTCTCTTTTCAATATTGGAAATAGAGTCATTCGCATATTTAAATATAATCTAATTATATTTAGAAAGCCAATTCCAGAAACCCCAGAACCAATTCAGAGACTTCATCCTTAAGATTATGTCCCTCTACAACCACTCACAATACCAAAAGCTGTATTAATCAGGGCTTTCCAGAGAAAAAGAATGGATAGGAAACGGGTGCCCCCATAACAATTTTTGATGAAATGTCTGGGCATCCCCAAGCCCAGTAAGCTGATACATAATAATAACTTCACAGGATATAATCAGGAGCTGTCAGTCAACAGATAAAGTACAAAGTAAGAAAAACTTGACTTGTAACCCTACTTTTCCAACTTAAAATTTATTGGTTGGAAAACTTGCCCCTTCCCTGGGATATCAGGCACGGAGACCCAAACCTTGAGGTTATGGCTATGACGTAATGGAAACCTAGCCCCCAGCTCTATTGTGCCACTTGGTATTTATGAATGGAGAAGAACAGAGCTTCCTCCAGTTTGATGAAAGTAATTATATCTGATCCTCCAGAAAGCAACTGTATGACACAGTGGAGTGGCAGCTTCTGTTCCTGATCTACCACTTCTGCACTCTACCAGGATAATCTGCCTTAACCACTCATTATGTCTATTTCAACTGGCCTCCTAGGAGTATAGGAGACTGTGTAGGAGTGATCTGTAGATAGTGGTACTCAAAGTATATCCCTATACCAGCAGCATAAGCATCACCTGGAAAACTATTAGAAATTCAATTTCTTAGGCTCCATCCTGACATAATGAATCAGAAAGCCTGTATGTGGGTCTCAGTTATCAGTTTTAACAAGATCGTCAGATGATTATAGTATTCACTAAAGTTTGAGAACCAGTGCCTTTGGGGATCAGCTAACTTAACCCTCTTCAACTATTTTCATTCCTTAAGGACTTCTCAGAGCCTCAGATGCTAATGTATACTGAGAATTTCCAAGCTTCTCCAATATGTTTAACTACATATTTTTTAAACATAAGCATATGTTTAGGATTATGTTCTATGAAATATTCTTAATAAAACAGAATTTGAGAGTGTGCTATTTGAACTGGAATGCAGTTCAGAAATATGCCTAATGATATTACCTTCCTTCAGTCAAGTAAAAGTCATACAATTCAAAAAGGATATGAAGAAACCAGATTCTTTTTCTTTCAAAATGATTACATTTCTATTTAATGAATGAAATCATTCTTTGAGATAACTAATGTTGAAATCCAGTTTCTCAAAAAATCATATTTTATGATTAAATAATTTAAAATTCCCAAACAAGCTCCATATACTTACTTACCCTCTTTTATTATGTTCCTAATTCTGTACAATATTTGGCAGATATGGATTAATAAAAATTAAAGTGGGTGTTTAATTGAAGAAGGAGGAATAAAAGTTTACTGAAATCTCAGTTAACCCAACGCTTTATTTTAGCCATAATTTCAATTATGCACATAGCTGCGCTGTTTTCATGGTGAAGTCATTGAGAATCTAGAAAATGAAAAGTAGTTCTACTGCCACTGTTTATATTCCCACAGTTTCAATACCTATGAGACTCAGTCTGCTGGAGTTTGTCAGTGTTCCAGGTTTTAAATAAGAGGATGTCTGCATATTTGCTCTAAGTAGTATTCCAGAAAGCTCATAAATTGATTTTTAACTGCTATGTCACATAAAAGTCACTTAATTTGGGCTGGGAACTAAATGAGCTTCTATCTGAAATTAGTTCTGAAACTAATGTGTGTCCTTGTACAGTCATTGATGGTCATTTTTCCATATCTCATGGGCTCTGAAAATTCATGGTTCTCTTTTTATTTAAAACTGGTTGCACCAATTGAACAGTTGGAACCAAATGAAAATGGTAATTCAAATGAGAAATGAGTTAAAATAATAGTCATCTATCTAGGGAGAAAAAATTAAAAAAAGATATTTCACATTTCAAGTAGATAAATTAGCACTTAAACATCATCATAATAATCATAATCAGGCCCAGTGCTTGTGGCTTGTGCCTGTAATACCAGCACTTTGGGAGGCTGAGGCAGGTGGATCACTTGAGGTCAGGAGTTCAAATATATATATATATATATTCACAACTCATGGTTATTTATTGCTTATAATATCACAAAAACAAATCAAGAGGGGAAATTAATTAATTTGAGTAAGAACCCTCTCTGGAAATGTATGTATTGTTATACTTTCACATATGGTAAACGATGTATTTCATAGCAAAAGATTGGAAAACCCTACTTGATCATTAAGAAGAGACTGTTTCAATAAAAATCAGCACATTTTTATAATGAAATATCATTGTGTAAACAGGTAATTGTATGCACATATTGTTAAAAGGAACCTTGGTTACAAGTTTTACCTGTAGCCACAAACTTCAAACTTCTGCCATGTGTCCAAATACCTTAAATGAATGGAAAATTATTGACACAAGTGTTTCAGGA